CATGTGTTCATGCTATTTCAGTTCCACCCAAGGTGTCCATTCTTCAGCACCCTGCCTCAAATAACAAGATGAATGTCACCTGCCAGGCAGAGAAGTTCTATCCCCAGGACATGCAACTGACCTGGCTGAAAGATGGAAGTGTCTCCCAGAGAGATGAGACCCTGACCCCCACCAAGGGCAAAGATGGACTGTACAGCATGCAGAGCTCCATCCTGGTGGAAAACAGTGACCATGAGGAGGACACTATGCTCACCTGCCAGGTGGAACAAGACGGATGGCAGAAGATCACTGTAAAAATGACATTTTGGGCCTCTGCTCACCTGGATAGGTCTCAGTTGTAGCCAATAGCAAGGCCTCCATGATTTATTTAAGGAGGCTCCTTCATCTTTCCATAAAACGTTCTTTTTCAGATTTATAAAAGTTTAAATTATAAAAGCAAAGTCCCCTCTCTTTCTCATTCTCTTGCTGACTCACACACTCTCACTCTCTCCTTCTCCCTCACACACAGAAGTGCATGCGCACACACACACACAACGCAAAATCGTATAGGTATTTATCCAAAACTAAATCTCTATTAGGAATCAAGTACACCCAATCCAACTCCCTAGAGAGATCTCTTATATATTATTTGTTGCCCTTTCTTTTAAGGGCTCAAACAGGATTTCAGGTACTAGGATTTTAAGGTACAAGGTCATAAGAGGACTAGATAATGTCTGAAACTCCTGCCAAGACAGGGAGCCTGTGTTTCCTTGAATGATCTTAATGGTTTCTTGCCAGGAGATTTTTTTAGTGTTTTTATCATTTTCTGATTAAACCCAGGTCCTTCCTGGTGCTGAGCAGAGCAGCCTTGAAATTCTCTCAATAGGAACACATCTACGTTCCACTTACTGTCAGTGTAGACACATCCTTCTGTGCCCTGATGTGGTGGTGTTCTCCCAGGCTCCAGGCTCTGGGTGTCCCGGGTGTCTGGATCTCCTGCCCTTTCTTGATTCAGAGGGGCAGCAAGGATGAGCACAGTGTTTGACAAACATGAGTTTGATTCTCACTACCTTGTGATCCTGGAAAGTTTCTAAAATCTCTGAGCCTTGATTTTCTCAGCAACATAGAAATCATAATACCCATCTCATAGGACTATGCTGAGTGCTAACAAGGTAATACAAGGTAGTTAAATAGTTGGAGCTGCCTCCTTTTTCCTAGACAAGGCCTAGCCCAGCAGTGTGAGATGCGTGTGTTCTCACCTGGGCTCCTGTCTCAGGTATTTGTGCTGGCAAGGCATAGTGCAATGGGAACCGTTGTCTAAGATGGGCCCTGGGAGCCTCAGATGGGAAAGTGAAAGTCCTGGAGGATGGACCCCCTTGTGCCCTCTGATGATACTTGTTGCCCACCCTTCCTTTTGTGACTCTCCTCCTAGGCCACAAGGTGCTGCTGGTGATGGAGTCTTCACCCTCCATTCTACAGGAAGTAGATGGCCTAACTTTAAATTGAGGGGAGGTCCAGGGAGGCAGGACAAGGTTGTGGCCACAGCCTGGTCTGGGATCAGGCTAACGTTAGGGAAGAAGTCATTCCAAGAAGAGCCCACAAGGACACATGGTGCCCAGGTTCATCTGGCGGCAAGAGAGGAGCACATCACTCTTACTTCCCCAGGAATTTCCTGGAATACATTAAGAAGCTCCATCTCAGATGTGGTGATGGGGGAAGAGGGACTTGATCAAGCATTTGCAAAAGATGTCTTCAGGAAAGGAGAGGGGATTAGGCCCCAAGGAGGAGGCAATGTCTCATCTCACAAGGCTAGATATCAACTCTTTGTCCTCCAGCAACATCCATCCAAGGGAGTATCCAAAATTAAGGGTAGAACCCAGTCCTGACCAAGTGGAGATCAAGGATGAGGTAGCTGTGAGGCTACTACTGTGGTTTAGTTAATCAGTGTCAGGCTCCCAGGGTTTCCAGGGATGGGGGAGCCCCAAAAAGGGGAAAAAAGAAAGGGCAACTGTGGGATCCCTGAACAGATAGGGATCCTGTGGCATTAATGCCTCTGGGGAGAGCTAGATCAGAGATCAAACATCTGGGGTCACTGTGAACACTTACCATGAATCCACTGGCTATTCCCTCCTGGGTACAAAACACCTGTTGAGCATTCTCAGTGGGAAAGAGAGTTGAGCCAACCTCTGTTCTCATTGAGGTGTGTGCTCTAGCAAGTAAGGAAGACTTCCAACATAAACATCTGATTACAATTCTTACAAGGTACTAAGGGCACTCTCAGTTTATCTACAAAAAGGAGGAGAAGGGAGTGGTCATCTGAAGTTCAGGGAAGAAAGAGCAGCATCTTGGGAGTGAAAGGGCTAGCAGCTGAGGCTGGCAAAGCATTTGGAGCCAGATCAGTCAGAAACAAGAGAAAAATCTTTCATTTTCCCTAAGAACAGTGGGAAGCCACTACCAGAGAGAAGCATGGTCAGATTTCTCTAAATTTCTAAAAGTATCACTCTGACTACAGTGTAAGGAAAAGACTGAAATAGAGAAAGAGTAAGGGAGGCAAAATGGTAGCCTGTCCAAGCCAGAGATGACAGTGGAGAGAAAGATGCAGGAGGATTTAAGATCGCTATGCACTGAAGGTTTTTGTCCCCTCCAAATTCATATGTTAAATCCTAATGCCCAATATGACAGTGTTAGGAGGAAGGCTGTTGTTGGGAGGTGATTCAGTCATCAGGGTAGAGTCATGAATGGGATTAGTGTCCTTATAAAAGAGGCCCCAGAGAGCTCTCTTGCCCCTTCCACCATGTGAGAACACAGTGAGAAGCTATCTATGAACCTGGAAGTGGGCCCTCACCAAACACCAAATCTGCCGGCTTCTGGGTCTTAGACCTGCCAGGCTTCAGATATGTGAGAAATAAATTCATGTTGCTTAGAAGCCACCCAGTCTATGGTATTCTCTTATAGTGGTCCGAACAGACTAAAGATGTATTTAGATTAAAGGATATTGGGAATGGGAGGAGTTATCAAAATCAAAAATGACACCACGGTTTTTTGGTTTAACAATCAAATCCCATCTCAATGTATGACATACACTGAGATGAGGACACAGAAAAAAGAGCTGATGGTATGTGAGTGATGACTATGCTCTGTAGTTGCTTAGCAGACAGCAGGGCATAGGCATGTGAATGGCTTGCCCACTTCCATGCAAATACCACCTAAGTCCAAGATTCTGACCCACTGTTCCTTCTGGCCCCAAAGCCTGCCTTTTAATCCCCGTATTCAGTGGTTCCTGCCAACAAGGAACAGCAAGTCCAGTGAAGGAGGCAGAAGCTAATGAGTGGTGGTAAGGAAAATGTTGCCAAGGGTGCTGTCTAGTTACTATTGCTGCATGGCAAAACACCCCAAAACACAAGGTCAAAAAAACAGGCATTTTATTATGATCAATGACACTATGGGTAAGGAATTCAGACAGGGTACGAGAATGACTTGTCTCTGCTATATGTTGCCTGGGGTCTCAGTTAGGAAACTCACCTGGGGATGATTCAACTGCTGGGTCATCTGGAAGCTTCTTCTTTTACATGTCTGATGATTGATAATGGATATTGGCTGCATCTTAGCTGGGATGTCAGTTAGAACTCTTACATGTGTCCCTGCAATGTGATCTCTTCATGCGTGCTAGTTTGTGCTTCCTCATAGCATGGTGGCAAGGTTCCAAAAATGAGCATCCCAAGAGAGCCAGGTAGAAGTACAGGGAATTATTATGGTCTAGCCTCAGAAGTCACATCACATAGCTTCTGTTACAGTCACAGGCCTGCCCAGACTCAGCGGGAGGTAACATATGCCTACATCTCCATGGGAGGAGTGTCAAAGAGCATGAGGGAAGAGGGACCTTGTTGAAATCAGCTCTGGAGAATAGAATCTGTCATCAGGAAGACAGAGATTAGAGTTAGAACAATGAGTGCTAAATGGAACACTCTGACCAGTTCCTTGTCAAGAAATCCCTCTCAGAAAAAATGTTTAACAAGCTAGAATAAGGTGTCGCGGGGAGAGGGACACTCATCATGCTACAGAGTAATCAAATCCCATCGCTGGTTGGCCCCTTTCATTCCACCCCTTCACATCACCAACATCCGGTCAGCCACTGGCAAGGAGGCAGGGGTCGGGAGCAGTGGGGAAACTAAGTCACAGGAGGCAGTGTCTGGCACTGGGCCCACAGAAGTGATGAGCTCATGGCTAGAGGCTCTGGATGTGATTTCATGTGCAAGTGGCTGCTGCTCAGAAGGAGGAGAGGAGATGCATTCTTGGTGTGAGCATTTCTACAGCTCCTCCACTCCCTTCTCCCAAGAGATGGCCCCAGACTAGGGACAGACAAAAGAGATACCCCTCCTCCTCCCAGCTGTGTTTCTGCATGTCACTGTTCCTACAGTATGAGCACCGTAAGGCCCTGCACCTCCCGCTTAACACACACAGGTTTCTTCCCCTTTCCTCTAAAACAGAAGCTATTCTCCTCCTCCCAAGATCTAACTCCTTGCTCACTCAAAGCCACTTCCCCTGTAAGTGTACTTTGAAGAGCCAAAGCCTCCCATCAGATGTGGCTTCAGGCTCATTTTCACAACTGACACCTCTGGAGTGGGGAAAAACAGGGACCCACACCTGTGAAGCCCCATTCCCAGGAGCCCTCCTCCTGACTAGCTGCACAGCTCATCTGAGCCCAGGTCTTGGACCATCACAGGAGGCTGGACACACCTTTCTCTATGACAGACCGTGTTCCTGGGCTCCTGGATGAGGAAGGGTCACCAGCACACCTGACACAAAGTGAGGGGCCCAAAGGGCAGAGTCTTGGTACTAAGGGTGTCTGCCAGGCCCCCTCCAAGCACCTTGGGACCCTTATATCAGTAACTTCTTAGCTTTTGTCTGATTCCTATCTCATAATCTAGAAACTGGAACTGTCAAAATCCCACAGCCCTTTCCTCCCATCATAGTAACTTCCTCTTACATCATGGAAGATATAGTTCTGCTTCTCTCAGCAGAGCAGAATCCAGGACCTCCCCAAAACAGACCTACAGGCAGAGCAGGCTCCAGGGTCCACCACGATGCCCGTCCCTGCCTCTCGGCCCTGCCTGAGAGAAACAACAGAAACGATTTCATCCATCCCTGCTGCTGCCTCTGGCTGCTGGGACTCACAGGGGAGTGCCCCCACCCTCAGGTACCATGGTGCAGGGATGCTCTCCTGAGTTTGGCGGCCGTATCATTTGGCCACCTGCAGTGGGGCAGATGAATCTCTGTTGTTCTAGGGCCTCTTTCTTTGCTGCCCCTTCCTCTTTAAGACACTTCCCTAAACAGTTTGTTTTATAACATGTGTCTCCAAAACAAATCCCTCCAGAATTCTTATCGCTTGGAGGGGTTGCTTTCTCTCCTATCCAGGCATTTCCCCGTGACAGGGGTGCCCAGTCCCTCTCACTTCCTACACCCCTGACACCCTGTGAAGGTTCCACGACCCCATAGGCCTGACCTGCAGAACCTGATGCCATCCTGAGGGAAGAAGTAAAGGAGCAGCGTTTGACTCCTCCGTCCCCAGGAGGGAGGCAGGGATGCTGTCATTAAGATGAATACACATAGATGGATAGGTGATTAATAGATTAGATAGATAGATAGATAGATAGATAGATAGATAGATAGATAGATAACAAGTACTACACATACAATGTGGAACTATTAGAAAAAAATGCTAATTCGTCCTTTTTAGACTAGTAAGTCTCCCAGAATCTCAGTAACCTAGGATTATGTTCTTGATGTGGGCGTTTCTCCTGCCTGTCTACTCCCTTCTCTCCAAAGCTGATCTGGACAGTCAGGAGGGGCGCCCATCCTTCTCCCAGTGGTGTTAACATCTCAGTTTAGACTCCACCTAATAAAGTGGTGAAAAGCACAGGTATCTTAAAAAAAAAAAAAAAGGCCAACAGGCCAGGGTTCAAATCCAAGTTTCATCATTTGTAGGCTGTTTGACTATGAAAGTTACTCAACTTCTCTGTGACTCTTTTCTTGTCTGTGAAATCAGGATAAACAATAATGCCTTTCCAATAAAGTTGTGGTGAGAATCAAACTAGTTAATTAATATAGTTAAGTATTTGGAGTAACGTGTAGCACACAGAACCACCTACATGAACTCTGGCTGTTACAGCCTTTTAGGGCTTAGGAAGTGTGAATATGAGCACATGAAAATCGTCCTGCTGCATCAGGCCATTGCACCACTCATTCTGTGTCTTTGGCAAGTCTATGTCTTCACTTAGAACTCACAAAAGTCATGGGAAATGAGAATAGTCCATCAGGCTTGGTAGAAAAAGGAACTGAAAGCCACAGAAGGGTGTGGGCTTCCTAGAATCACCAGGTTGTCAGGGCTGGAACCTAGCCTACTGGACTTGTGGTTAAAAATGGAAAGTGCATTTCACAGAAGTCCTTCTATGAGCACAGTCCTGAGGGTTTCTCAGAGATTTTCAGGTTTCAGTCTCACAACAAAATTGCACGAGAAGTTTTACTTTCCATGTTGTATATTTTACATAGATAAGAAATCAGAGCCTCAGGGAGGTTATTTTCATCAATGTCAGTCCATTTTCTGTTGCTTAGAATAGAATACATGAAACTGGATAATGCATAAAGAAAAAGAACTTATTTCTTATAGTTATAAAGGCTGAAATGTTCAAGGTCAAGGGGCCACATTTGGTGAGAGCCTTCTTTCTGGTGGGGACTCTCTAAAGAGTCCTGAGGCAGCACAGGGTATCTCATGGTGAGGGCACCGAGCATGCTAGCATACTGTACTTGGGTCTCTCTCTCTCTTCTTGTGAAACCAACAGTTCCCCTCCCATGATAACCCATGAATCCATTAATTTATGAAATAATGCAGAGTTCTTATGACCCAATCACCTCTTGAAGACCCTACCTCTCAATATTGCACATTGAGGATTGAATTTCTACAAGAATTTTGGAGGGGACAAATATTTAAACTATAGCAATCAAGCAATAGAGGAGGTATTGAAACCTGGGTCAATGGGATTCCACTAGCTCTTACTTTGACCTCTTCACTGTGCTGCTTCTGTATACACTGAACTTCTAACAAAAATAGGATTACACAAAATATGGTGATTTATTCGTTCTTTTACTCAGTGATATATTGGGGGATCCTTTTCCATGTAAATATATATGTGTCTGCAGCATCATCAATACATCCCCAATATATACATCAGCATTATCAGTTCAGTCACTATATAGTTTTCCATTTTGTGGTTGTACCATCATTTTTCTAACTCACTCCTATTCTTGGACATGGGCCTTACATCAAACTTTTCTAGATTGTAAATACTATGATTGCCATTCCTTTACAAACCATTTTCACCCCTGTCTGATTGTTTCTTTTGAATAAGGCCCTAGAAGAGGAATTACTAAGTCAAAGAGTGTGAGTTTTATTGGGAAATTGCATTTCAAAAGTGTTTTTTGGTTTCAAAAACCATTTCCCAATAAAACGTGAGTGTCTCAATATCAGTAATACGTTATCTCACCACACACAGCACAGAAGCAGCAGCAATGGACAGGGAGTATTTTGAACATCTGTGACCAAAACAGATTTGGTGAAAGTATCTCCCCACTTTACTTGTTTAAATATGGGTTTGTCACAGGTACATAGACCATAAGATCATGACTATAATGCTGTATTGCCATCTGGAGAGATTGTGTCAATTTTTATTCCCATCAGCAGTGTGTGGGAGTGCCTGCCTCGCCACACCCTTAGCAACACAGAAAATTGGCAATCTTTTTCATGTTTGCTAAGCTAATATTCTAAAAATTGTGGCTGCTCTTAGCTTGCAGGAGGGAGAAATGTTTTATTTTATTTTATTTTATTTTTATTGTATTTCAGGCTTGCTATCAAAATAATCCAAACAGCGAAGAAACGTACAAGTAAACAAGAAAAGCCCCATACTCATCTGGCTCCCTGGAGACAGCTACTTTTTAGGAGTTTCATTTGCCTTCTTCAAGAGAGCTTTCTTCCACTGACATAAAATGCCAGCTTGATCGTACAGTATATCTGTCTATTTACTTGGGTCCAGTTCTAGGTTCTCTCTTCTGTTTCATCGACCTCTCTGCCTGCCTTGGTACCAGCCTGCCTCTAATATTTATTGCAGCCTGAAAATGTGCTCTAACTTTCATGTGCTGAAACCTGTGTACATCTTTTGAAAAACTTTTCCAGCTAGTCTGTCACGGAGGTTAGCAATTTGTTTGTGGTTTAACTATGCACTTCACGGGATTACTGGGGTTGTTGAACATCTTTTCTAGATGTGTGTCTTCTCTTGTGACTTCCTGACTGTGTCCTTAGCAAGGGCTGTCTGTCTGTCTTGTCTCTATGTTTCTCTTGATACCCAGTTAAGAAACGTGACCATCCTAAAAGCTAATACATGATATGGAAAGAAAGAATTAATGGGGCTTCAAATGCAATCTGAATCCAGGCACCTGGACCACAGCCTCAGCCCCAGCTGGAGCTTGGAGCTGACCTGTGTTCTTCTAGGAGTGGCAGGTGAGGAGGAGCTGCAGGGGATTCAGCCTGAGAAGTCCGTGTCAGTCACAGCTGGAGACTGTGTCACAGCTGGAGACTGGTCATTGCACTGTGACCTCCCTATTGCCTGTAGGGCCCATCCAGCGGTTCAGAGGAACTGGACCAGGCCAGGAATTAATCTACAGGCCAAAAGGAAGGCAACTTCCCCTGGATAAGAACTGTTTCAGACATCACAAAGAGAAACAAGATGAACTATTCCATCCATATCTGTAGCATCATGCCAGCAGAGCCGGCACCTACTACCGTGTGAAATTCCAGAAAGGGAGCTTAACGTGGAGATTAAGTCTGGACCAGGCACCCAGATGTTTGTGCGTGGTGAGTACAGATCCCTAGAAATCCAGCGCATTGTCCTAAAACAAATTACAATCCCTGGGAGCCCAGCCCAAGGCTCCCCCTTTGTTAGCCCCTGTGCCAAGAATATGAATAGAAGATAGGGATAGTGAGAGGTCACAGTGAAGAAGCAGGGTGAAATGTAACCCCAGGGCCATCTATCAGTAGACTCCTAACTCTTTAGAATCTTACAGCTTCCAAAGGCCCACAAAGCACAGTGGGTAAAGTAGACTACAGGGCCAGATGGCATGGGATCAACTTCTTGCTCTGCCATTTACATGCTATGTGACCTTAATTCTATTTTTCTTTTTTTACAAGGTCTCTCTGTGTTGCCCAGGCTGGAGTGCAGTGGCGTGATCCTAGCTCACTGCAACCTCTGCCTCGCAGGTTCAAGCTATTCTTGTGCCTCAACCTCTTGAGTATCTGAGATTATAGGCCATCATGCCCGGCTAATGTTTTTGGATTTTTCTTAGTAGAGACGAGGTTCCACCATGTCGGCCAGCCTGATCTGGAACTCAGGACCTCAAGTGATCCTCCCACCTCAGCCTCCCAAAGTGCTGGGATTACAGGCCTATGAGCCACCATGCCCAGCCTATGTGACCTTAATTCTTAATTAAGATTCTTAATGTTAAATTCTCTGTGCCTCAATGTCCTTGTGTTTAAGGTAGGGATAACAATAGTATCCACTTCATAGGTTTGTTATAAGAATTATAAATATGAATGGGCTTATAAATGGAAAGCACTTAGAAGAGTGTCTGCTGTATAATAATAATTATATTATTATATATCATCAGTACTCAGGATACTACAACCAATTAAACTTAAAAACATAATCTTAAAAGCATGGAACCATAGATTGCCATAAGATATGAATGATAAATTTATTGAGGCAGAAAGTTATAACAATCACATGTAGATTATTGATACAGAATATGTAATTCCT